GGATTTATTCTTCCCTCTACTTTGCTAATACCTGTAAATTCACCATCAGGCATAAATTTACTTTCATCACTGAGAATGGATAATGTCTTACTTTTACATTCACATTTGTTCTTGACAATCACGCCTGATCTTTTATCAGGCTTTAACAAGACAATATCAGAGTTTGTTCGTACGTATTTTAGTGATTTAAAATACTGAATAGTTAATATGCTTCTCTGCTTTGGTCCACGATTAAGGAATTGGTGGGCTATACCCAACAGTTTACATTGGTCTCAGCTTTGATTATTTAAAGACGTAGGGGTTAGCGTACTCAGTTGATCCACTATCCGACACTGGATGTCAATTGGTCAAGTAAGAACAGGTGAAATCCCACATCCACATAAAAACTAATTCATGCCCTCTGCTAAACCAACAAATTCGAACGTGACACGGATATATATTCATCAAATAAATATTCATCATTAAATATTTCGCTTTCATTACTAACATGATTGTCTGTGGATTCGAAATGGTCTAATGATTTATCAAGAATAATCTGACGAATCTTCGGGCAGTGGAGGTGAACGATGCGGAAGCACTTACCAACATGCAGACCTACTACACTTATTTCAATCACATTGTCTGACATGCCCTGATCCAGCAGACTTTGAAAGTAAACTTCATTTTGATACTTAACTATAAAAAACATAGACAAGAATTTGATAACTAGTTTCGGAACTATGCAATTTGTCACCAAGAGAGTGTAAGATTACAGAGCCAGTAAGAATATGTACGAGTAAACAATTATGTGATTCTGTTTTCTACAATATCAACACTATACTCAAGGTAGCCACTTTAAATTTCCAAACAGAATAATCTGACGAAGCTTCGAGCAGTGGCGGTTGTCGAGGAGTTGAACCGGGTGCTGCCTTAACTGGAATAAACCGGGGTTCGTCTAGGTTTTCATTGCGTTTTTCCGTAAACGTCTTCATCACCAGTTGTAACATGTATAATCAGCAATCACTGAAAGTCACAGCATATCTAAGCAGACTTCCAATATCCGAACGCTTTGACTACCTCGTACCCTACGTGAGCGATGAAGCAGTAAGAAGAGCTACAGCCAATGGCATTGCGACAAGTCACACACTTGCGCGAAATCAGAGAATCCGAGACGACTGTTTTTTCATACCCGTGGACACCCAGCAGGTGACGATCAAATTCTTATCACGTAACCAGAAAGCAAGCGAGAATCTGATCGACTACCTTAGCTCTTTGCAGCAAATAGCGGTGCAGGCATTTCCTAGTCTAGATATCGTTGGACGAGAGTAATTAATACGCCCGCATTTCGTCGAAGAGCTGGTGGCGGGCCCAGTAAGAGAACACTTCCTCCGAAGCCCACCAGTTGATACAGCTGACTTGAAACGAACAGCACTCCGTTTCTTAGCTGCAGACAAACTAGCGAATTCATCAGATGCACATCGACCATCAGTGATGACTGCGGAGGAAGCCACAGAATCTAGTTGCCTGGACAGTTACCAGAGGGCAACGGCTGTTACAGACTTTTCTAGCCGGGGTACCAGTCGCGGACAGTCAAGCTCGAGGTGCAGTAGATGGTCATCATGGAACAACTACCACGGCCATCAAGCTCAATGCATATTATGATGACTCAACTGAGCTATATTGGCTGAAACACATATTCCTTTAGGCCATAACCGTCCCCATAACCCAGGTAAGCCGTGTCTTTATTATTTATCTTCTCATGTTGATCATGTCTACCCGATTACGGTTATAGGTAGAATGCAAGGTGTTGGGATAGAGATATTACTAGACACGGGAGCTTCGTTATCTCTTACCAAGGAAGAGCTCTTGAGGAAACTGAACTATAAAACTCAGCAAAATTGATGTCTCTCTACGTTAATCACAGCAAGCGGTGATCCTTTGAAAGTGTGCTCTGAGGCGTGGTTAGACCTCACGATGGGAAAAGCATCAGTTTAGACACGAATTCTTAGTTTGTCCTGCATTAACTTGGGACATGATTCTCGGCGTTGATTTCATGTTAAAACACCAAGTCTCTATATTCATGGATAGGTCAAAAGCTAAAATTTTTGAGGCTATGGTACACCTGCTCCACTATGACATGCCAACTAAGTCTATAGCCCATGTGGGGTTTTCAGAACATGTATGTCAGGTACATAGGAATCAAATAATAGCAGAGAATAATCGCCGCACAACGATTGCTGTGCTACAGCAGTTTAGTCCTGTGTTTGAAGAAGGGAGTTCCGGAGATCGGACGACTATAGTGCAACACATTCTTCACAGGTGACCACACGCCACTTCGACAGCCACCTCGCAAGGTACCGGTACGTTACCAACCACAACTGGGTGCAATGTTAAAAGATATGTTAGACACAAAGATCACAGTCCCTTCATCATCTCCCTAAGCGTCACTTATTGCTCTAGTAAAAAAGACTCCTCTCTACGTAGATTATCGACGCCTGAATGCCGTAACTAAACGTGATCCCCTTCCGCTTCCGTTGATCGATGCTACATTAGACACCTTAAAAGGTGCAAGTTGGTTTTCGACATTGAACCTAGCGTCTGAGTACTGGCAAGTGGAAGCTTGACTGCAAGACAGGAAGAAAACCGCATTTATAGTACCGAATGTTATATATGAATTTCAAGTGATGCCTTTTTGTTTAACGAGTGCTCCGGCTTCTTTTCAAAGACTAGTGTAAATAGTTCTACAAGACAAAGTACCCCACAAATATTCGATTTATCTTGACGACATTATTGTGTATGGTAGCACAACGGAACAACACAACACTAGTCTGAAAGCAGAACTTCAGAGCATAAACAACAAAATTTTAAAAACCGTCACTGTTTTACTCTTGTGATTTGTTGCATGGTGTTCTCCACCTTTCAGTGACTGCCGATTATACGTGTTACAACTGTTTGTTAGAGCAATCACTAATTCTGGTCTCTTAAGAAGAAATATTCTTCCACGGTGTGAGCAACCAGGAAGTAACAACCGCCCCTCAGCACTCGAGATCATCCTGTTGGCGATCGAATCCCTCCCTCACCTCTTAATATTTCTTCCATCCCCACAACTAACCCTTATTTATCTTTGCCATCACGCGCCACCTATGCTAATGATTTGAGTTTACGAAATTTTATTCCTGGTTTCCTGAAACCACGCTCCAAACTATATATTGGAGCTTTTGATGTTCGAACCTTGTGTCAAATTGGAGAACAGGTTTCATCAGTTAGGATTGTAGAATCTCGCGCAATCGAATTATTCTGCATCTTTGAAACGCGCACACAGGCTCCAAGCGCGGTCATTCATTTAACTTCATCTTGTCGACACAAAGAACCGGTACGACTTACTCTTTTAGCATCTGGAGACCCCACTGCTACTTCCGAGGCTTCGCTGATGCAGGTATAGCGTTAAGATCTAAAGTAGAACAGATTTTGTTAGACTGGATTTCAATAGATAATCGCTTGTGCTCTGTTCGACTTAACAGAACAGTAAGAACTCGAGAAGGTAGGTTCATACACCGTTGCCTTTTCGTTGTCTCTGCCTACCCTTCCACTGATTGCAGCTCGAATAAAGTTGTGGGAAGCTACCCAACCTCCCTCAAAGAGCTAAACACTCTGGTTTAGCAACAATGGCAGGTGATTTTGACGCTCAGGTAAGTAAACTCAACAAACCGAAAGGTACTTGGGCAGATTTTACGGTGTTGCGGCTCAGAGAACAGATAATGGCAACCGTCTTGGAATTATGCTCAGATAACCGTCTATTTCTGTCAAACACCAACTTTAAGCATAAGGAGAAACGTCGTCTGACGTGGCGACCTCCGCGATCGACTCAAGTAGATCACATTGCCATTAGCCATCGTTGGAGTGGCTCGATTGAAGAGTCTCATTCTGGAGCACATGATTAGACTCGGATCATGTCCTAGTTTGAGTACGTATTTGTCTGTATCTCACTGGACGTATAAAAGTCAGGAAGAAAACTACTTATAGTTCAACTCAATGATGGGGAAATTAAGATTGTATTTCAGGAACCATTAGAGGAGTTGTTCAACCGTGAAAGTGGTATCCAACCTGATGTAGCTTGATGTGATATCCAAAAGCAGCGATACCTACTAGTAACCTAAACCAAAGGGTTAAGAAAAATTAGTGGATTTCGGTGGCGTCTACAGAACTGATAGATGCTTACAAACTCATCCTGTCTGGCCCTGAATCACAATTCTGAAGGCCAACACATCATAACAAAGAAAAACTGTTAAGCATCAACGATATAATTAATTATTGCATTAGCAATCAAATTAAAAAATAGTTATCAAATCATAAAAATACATAAGGAGGAAAATAAATTTTGAGTAAAAAGCAAAAGTACCGTAAAAAATAATAAATAAATGAGAAATGAATTTTTCTGGGTAATCATTATTAATGACATAGAAACCTTTTGATTCAACCAATCAGAGAGAGGGGACTCAGAGAAATAATTTGCACCCTGTAAGATGCTAATTCTAAACAAAAGAGAACGATTATTCAGAATCAACCTCCTCTTTATCACAAATTACTTTATAGGTACCTAAGTTAAACAATAATGTTTGTGAATCTTATTTATCTTATGATCATTATTAGTATCGAGCAGCAAATTTCACCTGTCAAACTGATTAGGTTATCAGGATCAGTTATATGAGAAAATAGTGAAAGCTGAATTCTAATCAAATGAAAGATATCAAAAGTAAAAACATAAAATGAGGAGAGCAGTGATGAGACTGGAAGATAAAAACACTAAATGTTATGGTCTCTTGATAGAGTAATTGAACCTAGAAAGGCTGAAACAATTATGAGAATTGTATTGTTGTTTTCGTAATTTATGTCATGAGTACTTCAAATACTTTACAGTTTCATAAAACTCAGGTCACAGCTTGTTATTTAGCGATACAAACCTCAATGTGACGAAAAATTACATAATTAATGGCAAAATAGGCTTCATTGAGTGAAGAAAGTTAATCGGATGCTTCGTCACATGCTTCTTCATTTGGAAAAACAGGCTTACTGTTTTGAATATAACGATTAGATTGAGCTAGCAGTGAACTATCTCCCTGAAGTGATGAACAAGACGAACGCTTATGGCGAATACGGCCATTATGTCCCTTTATCGAAGTGTTGTTACCACGGGACTCTATATTTTCATTGGTTTTATTCGTACCATTAAAGCATGTTGATCTTTTAGAGTCTGGATTTGGATTATAAACTCCCGGAGTAAATGAGTCACCATTGTCAACGCGTTGTCCAATCATATTTACATAAGCATTGAATTCTTCAGACATCTGAGCATACACTTGATGTCCGGCTCCTTCGATTACCTAAAATATGGGTATTCAGATTACTTCCTGTAAGGTTGATACCATAATAAAAATCTAACGAAAAGGAACAATCATTTTACTAAATGGACGGGTGATTTTGAAACGGCATATGTTAAAAGTATTTAGGAGTGCAGGTGATATAACTGATAAAATTAATTAACTGTGATACCTGAAATGATGCATGAAGTTAGAACGAAATGATTGAAAAATCTAGGAATTAAAACTCATTTGTATACTAAAATAGCCACCTATTTTAGATAATAAATAATTATTCAAGGAAGAAATCAAAAATTAACTAATACTATTTCGCGTTTGCCCGTTGTAGCGATGATTATGTAAGGGAAAAACAACTTATTTGAATGTAACGCAACTTCATCTTAAAAATGTAATCTTCCATCCACATATTAACGAAATTATGGAATTGAAATGATAAGGCTACTTTTGTTGAGTATCAATATATATTTACACATTAAAAAAGTCTACATATAAATTATGCCAATACATTGAAGTATGACGCTTAGCGCAAGGATGGTCATGGATTGTTCATAGGTCTAAGCAGACACGTTAAAATTTAAACGCTAAGAACTGCCTAAGTAATGATTAATATATATACTTGAACATTTTTAAAGTATTCCACAATTAATCAGGAAATGTGGATGTACATGTTTGTGAAATTCCATCTCATAACTTACAACCATTTACGCAATATATATTTACGACGACAATAATGATTAACTATTGACTAGAAATAATTCAATTTAATAAGGTATGCCCTAGTCAGTAACAACAAAATGTAAGTCTTGTTTTTTTTTTAAAACAGGACTAGTTACTGTAATTGCTTTATATGCACTTCTATACTTATAGATATGAAGAAAAAATGAGAAATTAAAATACCTCAAAAGCCACATTCGTTAGGGTGTGAACCACACCAATAATGAGATATTACTGAAGTCCCAACAATAAATTAGGTAACATTAATTTAATTCAACAGACAAATAACGAATGCTAGTCAGTATGAGCAAGGCCTAAACAGAAGCCGTCCAACTTAGAATAAATTAAATGAAAAGCTTCATTTAGAGAGACAAGTTTTAAAAGAACTCCATTAAAAGTCTTAATTAAACTATCTGGAACATCATCATTTAGTGAATAAACACGAAGGTAATAACCATATTTGAATCATAAATTGGATCGTAATCATACAAAATTACCAGTTCAACACTGCTATTTCAGCTACAACATATCATAGCTCAGTCAAGTAAATTTGGTACACTAGAATATTTACACTTTATCAGTCAGATAAATTATTCACAATTCCTGGATCTGTTCATTCATACAACAGATAACTGGAATCAAGAATTCTGGGTTCGGAAATTTTCGAAGTATGTCAACCTAGATTGCATAAAAAACACGAATGAATCAAAGTAATGTACATGGTTAAAACTGTAGTTGCAATTAACTGTGTTTAAATAAAAAAACTGCTCTATTATTAGATTACTTAGTTTTCCTGATGAGTTTTATCATCGTTAATTATGTAAAGCCTCTTGAAAATGAGAATGATTCCCATTCATTAAATCCAGAAGGTAAAATGCACATAAGTAGTGCGAATAAAAACAAATCATATCCAATGGTTTGAATAGAATCTGTTATCATTTACCATAAAGCATAATTCAACTTATCTTCCAAAATATGACTTTATGTATGAATGAAAGGTAAACAAGACCACATGTTCTTTATTTTCAGTCGCTTAAAAACCTAGAAAACGTGTAAGTGATAATTTGGATTGTCATATTCTAACGGAAACTGAAGGGATAGAAACTTCTAGAACTAATCCATGGACTATTGTTATATATAATCCTATTGTATAATTGTTGTTTATACGATTTACCATTCTTATCTGTTGCCATTTTGTTATTTACTGCCTTCCCTATTCATAGCCACTTGGCTTGATTATGCATAATTGTTATTTTTTTACTTTATGGTGTGATGTTTGGTATATTTATATAGAAACTACGTCTTGTTGAAATATAATATAGTGGAGTTTGGTTACCAACTTCTGAACTCAAGGGAATGGCAGAGAGAGGACTACAGAATGGTGAACCAGTAAGGATCTAACAAGTGACCCAAAGTTACTAGTACTGAACAGATGTAATTGATCAACTCAGACACTAAATTATATAAATCAGGATTCTGATTATTGGTTTTGTCATGTGATATTAGTCAGTGGTCATAAAACATAACATGGATCATTTTTAGAGATCCGAATTAGTATATGTGGAAAACTCCAAGTAAGGATGAAATAGGTTTTAACTGCACAACTGATGTCATTAACTATGGCAAATACTTCTAGAGCCAGAAGTAGTGTACTCTAAGTTATTACGAGTTAGAGCATATGAAGTAAAGACCGGTCTTCCCATCGGGAAAAAATTAGGAAGCTTACAGAAGTCACTAAATGAAACAAAACAACCACTTGGTGCAGTCTAATACGAATTAATAACTAGTTTATAAAACAAATTATCATCCAAATCTATTGAATAATGGACAGTAGTATCACGCGACGATCCAAACAGCAGCAATCCCATGAAGATTTTAAATTTCGACTACTTGTTTGAAAATTGATCATTCAAACCAACCAGCCAAAACTCGAGTTATTAAAGTATTACAAACAAATGGTAACGAATATACTGAAGTTGACAAGATAAGTTGTACTAGCCAACAAAATCAATGGAGAAGAATCAATTATCTAGTAGAGTGAACTAATCACAGTCTAATCAAATCCAATATAAATCAGTTTATTAAGGTGTTTTGGTGGACTTATCTATCTGACTACATTACTCTACTACAAGACATCAAAGATATAATACTATTTGTTGACATTGTATTACAGTACTACAAACATTAGTAAACATCTCATTCCCAAAATACATCCTAACACATACACAAACATAGAATGTGCCATTAGGTTTAGTTAATAAACACTGATAAGTAATCACATATTTTTTAAATTATTTTTAACCATTTTTCTCGGAACAAACGATAATGAATGAGGACACCCGTCCTTGTATGTTTTTACAAATATAACACAAATGCATACATATACAATCACGCAGTGTCTGAGCAGGGAAAATAAAATGGACCGATATGAAGACATATATACACAAATATGTCATTTTTATCAGAAGGGGTTTTGTGGAGATTTTTTAGAAATTCAATAGTTGGAATCCTGAGTCAATCGAAGCTAGAACATCATGGAAAACCTGGAAGCAATGGACGGCCGTTTCGTCTTAGTATGGGACTCCTCAGCAGCGCGCACCTACGATTCCGCCGCCCGTGAGACTCGAACCCAGGACCTATCAGTCGCGCGCGCGAGTGCTTAACCATTAGAACACTGAGCCGGCATTCAACGGTGTTAATGTCTAACTTCAACCAATCCACGAAGTTGCGCCACCATACACCATTGTCTTCAGTGAGTTGATTTCTCACAACAGACCTGGTTGGACTCCACTTGTAACGTAATGTAATTTTTGTTTGCACAGTTTGATTTAAGAGATGACATACGAACAATCAGTCAGTGAAGTGAACTAGTTTAAATATGAACGACTTAAAGGAGCACTTAATACTTGTTATTGTTCTACAAGTGTTATTAGAACTGATAAAAATATTTGAACTCAAAAAAACATAAATTAACGGTTTGAGACTGGATTATGAAGACCTCAACATCTGAAGGAAAACACGGAATACAATGGACAGCTCAGAATCAATTAGACGATTTGGACTTCGCAGATGACCTAGCCCTCCTATCACGTACACACGAACAGATGCAGATGAAGACAGCCAGTGTAGCAGCAGTCTCTGCATCAGTAGGCCTCAGCATACACAAAGGGAAAACTAAGGTCCTCAAATTCAAAGCGGAGAACAGCAATCCAATCACACTTGATGGCGAAACTCTGGAAGATGTAGAGTCCTTCACATACCTGGGAAGCATCATCGATGAACAAGGAGGATCCGATGCAGACTTAAAGGCGAGGATCGGCAAAGCAAGGGTCGCATTCCTATAATTGAAGAACATATGGAACTCAAAACAACTTTCAACCAATATCAAAGTGAGAATCTTCAATACGAACGTCAAGGCAGTTCTACTGTATGGAGCTGAAACTTGGAGAACTACAATAACCACAATCAAGAAAGTACAAGTATTTATAAATAGCTGTCTACGCAAGATACTCAACATCCATTGGCCGGATACCATCAGCAATAGCCTTCTGTGGGAGAGAACAAACCAACTTCCAGCTGAAGAAGAAATTAGGAAAAGATGATGGAAATGGATAGGACATACATTACGCAAATCGTCAAACTGCATCACGAGGCAAGCCCTAACATGGAATCCTGAAGGGAAGCGAAAAAGAGGAAGGCCAAAGAACACATTGCGTCGGATAATAGAAGCAGATATGAAAACGATGAATTACAACTGGACGGAGCTAGAAAGGATTGCCCAGGACAGGGTTGGATGGAGAATGCTGGTGAGCGGCCTATGCTCCTTCACGAAAAGTAACAGGCGTAAGTAAGTAAGTCTTTCGCCACGTGCAAACTAATTGCATCCAATAAAGTTCACTTCATATCACTTCCTTACAAAATGTTACATAAACATAGTTGATCTCTGGGGGGACAACTCAAAGTATTAGTTTCTATTCATTGATCGATTTTCTATTGTTTTAGAATTATTTCGTGAACCAAAAGCGATGTCTCTTCGAAATAGCCTTATTTATTTATTCATAAAACAATTTAACTTTGTCATATACCAAAAGGTGTCGATTACATAGATTCGGTTTTATTACACTTATATCACTATGCATTAGTACTTATATATGCTTCTAATATATTGCTAAACGACGTTATTCTGTTTGGGGGAATGATTTAGGGATCAGGGCACGTGAAATGCGGCTTCTGTGGTTGACGATTTAGTCAGTCAGCTACAACGTAGGATCAAGCACATATATGCATCAGTCCAAGTTGCCATATCTCATTAGCTCAACAAGATGGACACCGGATTCATAGAAGTGGTTGATTCAGTGGTGGTAATATGGAAAAGAAAGATTGCATATAAGTATATAGTACAGGAAGAAAGATTTAGTATGTAGAAAGAAAGATATGAAGCGATTTTAATCTCATAGTTTAAAGGAAGATAGAGAGTATATACACCTACGCCATTGTGATCGATTCTGAGCCATGTCACCCAAAGTATCCAATCATTGGTTACGATAGTCACGCGGACCCCAACCAAGTAGTCTGTTTCTACCAACATGGCTCAGAACAGAAGTTAGTGGCTTCAAGCACTGATGCCACGTTTTGGTTTGACCGCCCCTAACTTTCTTCCAACCATCCCCAACATCGGTTAGCATTGCGCGTCGTGGTAATCGGTGTTCAGGCATACGCAACACGTGGCCCACGCGTCTCAGTCGATAAATATTCACAACCTCATCAACCGATTTACCATCATTCCCTAATACCCAGTGTTTAACTTCACTATTACTTACCCGGTCATCCCAGCAGATGTGGGTAATATTTCTAAGGCATCTGTGGTCAAACACTTGTAGCCTATGAGTATCTTCAAATCTTAATGGCCATATTTCGCAGCCGTAAAGTAGAACAGAACGAACTGCCGCGCAGCATACTCCTCCTTTTATTGATAGACGGATATCTCGCCTTCGCCATAGGTGATATAAGTTGGCAAAAGCCAAACGAGTTTTCTGAATCCGTGCACAGCTTTCGTCAAACACCAACCCATTAGGGTTGATCAGACTTTCAAGATAAGTGAAGTTAACAACGCGTTCGACTACTCCTTAGTTCAGGTGTTGACGCATACCAGTCCTGAAGCAACAACTTGCAATTAGAGAGGGAGAAGCGCATTCCAAACATTCTGGCATTGTTGCTTAGTGCTACCAAAAGACTCTGCATTTTGTCAGCGTCTTCACCAAACAGGACTATGTCATCTGCGTATTCTAAGTCAATAAGTGGACCTCCTGGTAGGAGATCAATGCCCAAGAATTCAGTCGACGAGAAAGTTATTTCCATCAGCAGATCTATGATGAAGTTAAACAGAAATGGAGAAAGTGGACAGCTTTGACAGACACTTAAAGTTGCAAAAGCAGATGACAGTTCGCCATAAGCTCTGACTCGACTAGTAGTGTTCGAGTGAAGAGTCTTCACAAGGTTTATGTAATTCTGAGGTACGCCATTCAATGACAGACACTGCCACAGCACCTCTCGCTTCACAGAGTCAAATGCCGCTTCTAAGTCAAGAAAGACCATCATTGTCGGACGCCGATAAGTATGCCTGTGTTCGAGAACCTGATGAATGGTGACTATTTGATCGATGCGACCACGACCAGATCTGAAGCCAGCCTGATTTTCTCGTGTTTGCAGTTCACGAGTCTTAGTTAGGCGTCCGATCATTATCGAGGCTAGTATTTCAGATGCTATATTAGTTAAACTAATCCCTCTAGGGTTGTCACAGGATGATTTTGACCCTCTCTTATATATTGGGACGATAAGTGACTGTGACCAGTCAGATGGGATAACGTCCAACTCCCAGAATTTAGCTAAAATATTAGTAAACCTAATCGCTAAAATTGGACCACCATCCTTAAAGACCTCTGGAGCTAATCCATCTGGACCAGCTGCCCTTCCTCGTTTCAGATTAACCATAGCCTTTTGAACTTCAGCAAGAGTTGGGGGACCTACTACAATGGTCCATTCACACTGTCTGGGAATGGAGGGTAGTTGTAGAGTAGCTGAAGGCCAGCTGAACTGTTCTCTAAAATGTCCCGCTCACCGTTCTAAACGTCTGGACTGGGAGCAGATGAAAGTGTCGTCTTTTTCCGAAATAGTCTGAGTTACACTTGACTTATTAATTCCAGTTTCTTTTTTTAGTCGGTAGAGCTGTCTTGTGTTCCCTACAGCCGCCGCCTTTTCCATCTCTTTTGCTTTCGTTGCCCACCACTGCTCACGGTCGTTCCTTACACTTTTGCTTAACCTAGATCTGATTTGTTTTCGCCATTCATCGTGTTCAGAGTCTGATGGGATGAGTTTACGGGAAACCATCAGTGCAATAGACCTTGAAGAAATCCATTGGTTCTTGTAACCCTGTGGATTAACTCACTAATAGATGTCACTGCTGTTTCCACAGCTGCTTGTATATCTTTCGAAGCAACACTGCTCTCGTACTTATTGCTATGCACTAGAATAGTTGGCTATGGTGACACTTGAGGAGGAAGCCGAAAGAGGAAGTTTAGAGTTGAAAGTCGATGTAGGCGGAATAATAGGAATTCAAGAAGAAGGTTGATTATGAATACAGTAGTCCTGAGTGATGTTAAAGGTCTGAGGGTGTTTATCACTTCCCCGTTGCCCACACCGTAGAAGGGTTCTTCTAGAGGTACCTGAAAAGGAAATTGGATTAGAGGTGGTCATTATTGACCTGAGAGCGTGACTGCAGTGCCCAAGGTACAGCTGCTTGAGGTCGGTCACACACGATCTTTTTGTGGGTAATTTTCGTGTTAGCTCCGTACTTGTTGAGACCTTACCGCCGTAGACGGATATCCGTGGTATAAAGTGAGGTGTGACATTTTTAGGGTCGACCTTCCCTAACCCCACCCCTCCTTGTGAGAAGGCAGCATCGCTGTCATGCGGGTTGTCTGAAGGAAACACCTCACTGCCGGTCCACCTCTTTATAGTCAGCAATACGACTTCGCCTTCGGTTTGTTGCTTTTAGTCTTACCGCTCTTTAACTGACCTGTCTGGCATGGTAGGATCTTGAGGAACGGTTGTTCCAACCAGTATAGCATGGTTGGTTCGTCACAATAGGCAACACCGACCACCACGTCAAGGTAGCATCAACGGTCGATTTACACTTTCATAACCCAGATTAGTTAGTTTTATATCTATCGTACCCTTGATCTGATGAAGACAATTAGGAGAGGATTTCATATAATGCAAGAAATGCGATACAGCCGCTAATTCGTACGTTAAACTCTCATAACCACAGAATTCAGTTGTCTAAGCGAGAAATGACCAAGTGATATCATACGATTATATGAAACTCTCACTAACTAATGATATAACAACTAGGTTATATTGAATTTCTGACGGTATTTTAGTATTACGTACCATGTGATGAAGAAAATATAAAAAGGTCTCAAAAATAGTTTATTATAAACAACAATCCAACAAATGAGATCAGTCAGCAGGTTTTCCATGATACAGTTAGTATAGCTTATTTTCTTTTTTTTAATAGATTTATGCATAGAATAAGCTCCAACATTCGAAACAAAATTTGTTAATTAGAGGCTTTTATAACAGACAAATAATTAGCGTAGGCAGTAGTAGCTACTATAAAGAACTTACTGTTCAATTTTCCTGCCTAACAAAAATTGGATACCAAGATAACCTCAAAGTTATTGACATTAAAATAATCTTGGCTTTACATAAAATATTAAGGCATCAAAAACAAGTCAGTATTATTAATATAGTGCAGTGGGATTAATTATGAGTTTAAGCAAAGGCACAGTGCTTATGATCGTAGGGTATAATTTGAAATTGTAAATAAGTAAAAAAACTAAAATTTTATTAGGTAAGAATACTGGAATACTTCATCTAATCAGACACATTGTACTATCCACAGCCGCCTTTTTATGATTCATGGAACAGTGGGAACTCATTTGAAAACAAAAATGGAATTTGTACTGTGGTGTCTAGTACAACTACGCACTAACATGATTCATTCTAGCTCATAGACAAAGAACAACTCAGACAGCATGTGACTATTGAGTCATTATTACCATCATAATAACCTTACTATTTTCATAGGAAATCGTTTTATATTCATGTCCTGATTCTACGCTTATGAGCATTGTGTGTATGTCCGTCACTCATTATTTTGTCCAAAGCCTATCTCTTTGTCAAATTACACATTATCTATTTTGAGCTATATTAACTCTTGTAATGAGTAGTATGGGCGAGTTGGCTCACTTGTCGTCTCCACTTCACTTTGGTTTGCCCGCACAGACGATTGCAGTGAAATAAACCGATTCAACAGAATTCGCATTTGGCTTTTATTACCATCGTACAAACGGGGTTAGGCTACGTGAAGTATACAGAACTAAACGAAAGCATATTTGTTCGTTCGAATTGGAGTCAGATCAAAGAGCCACTAAAATACAAACTGGGTGTTAATAATCAGAGGATAATGTATTTGATCAAACACTATGGTGTGTGTGGTCAAGATTATTTGTGAAGGAAAAATGACGAGGTGGCTACCTACCTTTACATCTACGTACGAATTAGGAAGTAATACACGAGTTCTATATCCTGATGATAGATCCATCCATGATCGAGAACCATATATAAAGGTGACAGGAACATTAGGATCGAGTTGACTAATTCTGTCTAACATTGGGCGTTGAGGCCATCCAACTGAACTACATAATGACTTGAATCCTGTTTCACCGCTTAAATGAAAATTGTATTCTCAATAATAAAAGCAGAATTAGAATGAAATAGCAAGATAAGAATGATAAACTGTTATAAAAAGTAGATATTACTTCGTAATCTATATTTATAAACCGCTTTTTTTTGTAAATACCATTCTTATGAGACGAAAATATGACTAGTACACGTTTAATGAAAGAAAAACGAATCAGCTGATAAGAATTCGTCTTGTCTTAGGTTGAAACAATTATTGACATATTCATCAAGACAAAAGATTTCTTGTAAGGAAATGAGCAGAAGAGTTGGCCTTGAGGTGACGATGCCATCGTTTAGAACTCACCTGGACAAACTCTCTAGTGTCCGCAGGGTTGAATAATGGGAACAAAAAAATAATTCGATAAAACATTACGTGATTTTTCGGGTTCATGCACAACACAATGAACGTAAAATTAGGAAAAATAATAAAACAATCTACTAATATATCACCCATATAAATCCCCAGACAAAAAACTTACTTAAGTAATCACAGAATACGAAATAAGTCGCTTTTCGGTTCATTATTATTAACACCACAATTCGTAATATTAATTTTCCCCTAATCCAGAAAAGACCACATCTGACAGTACAAAAGTGGACAATGCATGCATGAAATTACCTTTCAAAAATTGAATCAATATATACGAATTTGAGCAACGAACAACTAGAAGCATGAAACTACAACACAAATATATACTTGCAATTATCTATGGTAAAAATGTACAAGGGCGAATTATGAAACGTTTAGTTGTACAGACAAAACTTAGATGTGTGCATGTACAGGATCTGACCACTTCTGACGGTTCTATTTTATCATAAAAAGTCTAATAACTTCTTGAAAACTAACTAGATTGCGGTGAGCCAAGATGTCAACTGATTTAACTTTACTTTCAGAGAAAAACCTGTAATAAGGTCAGCAGCAAGTACAACCCTAATGTGAATGAAACAAACTGTGAGGTTGATGGTGCTTAAGCTAGTAAAATTTAGACACCCATAACTTTATGCAGTTTCACTGCACCACCGATTTCGGCAAAATTGTGACCTTTTCCCTGCCAGTGAACACAAATGCGCCTGAAGAAGTGGACCCCCCCGAAAATTCATCCTTTACAGAATCGCAAGTCACCAGGCCTAAACGAATTTTCTCTTATGATTTTTAATGCGACAGATCTTTTAGTCACGAATACGACAATGTTTTTTGAAAAGATACGAAACAATGAGAGTTTTTCATCAAAATTTCGAGTAACTAAAATATCGAGCCTAGGAAGGGGTTCATATAATACATATAAAGGATATAAGTTTGTAATCAGAAGAGTTAAAATATATGGACTTCCATAACTCTATACAGATAACATAAGAAGCATGAAATCCACTACACAATGCAAAATCCCTCGACATCATCGTGCGATAGGGAGGGCAAAAGTCATTTTTTAGAGATATCATGCCCAATTTTAGTCAATTAAAGATGGACGTTTCCTAACATTTATTTGATAAGGAAGCGTACATTGACTGCGAGAGGTGCTGTTGTACCGTGGTCATGAAGAAAACAATGTCTCGTGTATAAAGATGCACGAAAAGCAATTCTAGGATCGGAATCATATGGATTCAGGATAATCAAAGCATCCTTCAAAACAAAGGAAAGGATCACAATTAATGCTATCCAGTGCCATGCGCCCACCAATGATTGCAATGAAGACGATAAATACCAGTTTTATGAGAGGCTGCAGTAGATTGTAGAGGAATGTCTCGGAAAGGACCTGACCGTCCTGATGGGAGATTTAAACGCCAAAATTGGAAAGGACAACACCGGGTATTAAGATGTCACGAGAAGACATGGACTGTGAGGAAGCAATCGAAATGGTGAGACATTTGCAAATCTATTTGCTTTCAACAAATCAGTATTTCAAACAGCGTGGTTCAATGGGAGGACTGCCCAAAACACCATATATATGAGAAAACATGGCATGCTCACTCATATTATAGGTGAAATTCATTAAACAAAAGTAAACAAAATTCAGAATAACACGGAACGGAAAGAAATACCATGTAACCATGTAATACACTGAATCAAGCGAAAAATATAGATCACAGCGACCGACTGGTCACAAACAAGAAACATCAATCACTGAGGCCAAACAGCAGCAAAACAGATGGATAGAGAGAGCACTTTGAAGAGCTCCTGAATAGAACAGCTACACTGAACTCAACGAAAATTGAAGCAGCACAGACAGACCATCTTGCAGATGCTCAACCAACAATAAAATAAATCGGCATGGCCACCAAACTAACAAAGGCTGGGAAAATAGCAGTTCCAGTCAATATATCTATGGAAGCACTGAAGTCTGTAAGTCTAAAGACTGCAAAGATGCCCACACTATTTTCTGAAAGATCTGGGAGAAGGGACAAATACCAGCGGACTGGGAAGAGGGATACCTCATCAATATACCAAAAAGAAGAGATCTGAGCAATTGTGAGAACTACAGATGGATCACACTACTGTCAGTACCAGGAAAAGTTTTCAACAGAGTGTTGTTGAACCGAATGAAAGATTCAGTAGATGTCCAACTTCAAGATCAACAGGCTGGATTTTGTAAGGATCAATCGTGTACTGACGAGATGGCCACACTACGGATCATTGTTGAGCAATCAATTGAATAAAACTCACCACTATATATCAACTTCTTTGGCTATGAAAAAGCATTTGACAGTGTTGATGGGAAAGCCTCATGGAACGTTTCCCGATACTATGGTGTACCTGAGAAGATTGTCACCATCATACAGACTTCTTGTGAAGAACTATGCTGCAAATTCATGCATGAAGGGAAGCTCACAGATGCATTACAAGTGAAGATCAATGTTAGAAAAGGCTGCTTACTCTTTCCTTTTCTATTTCCTCTAGTGGTTGATTAGACCATTAAGACCTCTAAAGCTCAGAGAAATTACGCAAAACAGTGGATAGTTTTCACGCAACTAGACGATTTGGACTTCGCAGATGACCTAGTTCATATATCCTATACACACAGACAAGTGCGGGCGAAGACAGTCAATTTAGAAAGTCTCTCCAGCATTAGGCCTCAACATACACAAAGGAAAAAGCAAGTTCCTAGAATACGACACAGCGAGCAGCGACCTAACCACATTTGGTGGAGAAGCTATGGAAGAGGTGGAAACTTTTACCTACCTGAACAGTAGCATTGATAAACAAGGAAGATCTGCTGCAGATGTGAAGGCAAGGATTGGCAAAGCCAAGGGCAGCATTCCTGCAATTGAAGAACATCTAGGACTCAAAAACAACTGTCAGCTAACATCAAAGTCAGAATTTTTAATATGAACGCCAAGACAGTTCTACTACACGGAGCTGTGACATGGGGAACTACCAAAACCATCATCAAAAAGGTACAGGTATTTATAAACAGCTGTCTACGTAAGATACTCTAGATCCGTTGGCCAGATACCATCAGCAGCAACCTACTGCGCCGGAGAACAAACTAGATTCCGACCAAAGAAAAATTAGGAAAAGATGTTGGAAGTGGATAGGCCATAACATTGTGGAAAGTATTAAACTGCATCACATAGTACGTCCTAATTTGAAATCCTCACGGCAAGAGGAAAAGAGGCAGACCATAAAACACATTACGCCGGGAATGGGAGGCAGACATTGACACAATGGACAGCAATTGTCAAAAACTGGAAAGGAGAGCCCAGGACAGTGTTGGGTGGAGAGTCCTGATTGACAGCTCATGCTCAAACAGGGTTAATATATGTGAATGGCATCCAATTGTCACATCGCACAGACATAGTGAGATAAGATTAGTAGTAAGAATGCCAGAGTAAGAAAAATTAGTAACATCATCAGTAGCAGTGTTTCACATTTTTGTAAAACAACATGATATTCACATCTTGACTGTAATCGTACATGAATTGTGCGTTTTTAAGTTCCTGATTCGTACATTTACGACACTGTGATTTCGTTTTTTTGCAACGAATTTCTTGATACTTTATTGTCGCAAGTATTTCATGGTCTATGAACAGCGTAATAAACAAAACTTAATAAATTCTTATACGGTTGATTAGCATGAGGCATTTAAACGATTTAAAATTTAGCATGAGCGATTACCGCTATATGTATACACAAATCTAGAATAAAAACTGCTTTCAGTGAGATTTTTCAATACAGAAGTAGTAAATCCTGGTATGTTGCCAGTAATTCTTTTTAAATGGCTAATTTAAAAGCGTTTACTTGACAGAAGGTATACTGGGTCAGACTTTTTAAATGTGACTTGCAAACAATCCGCAAATGTTTTGATAATAATCACGCCGGGTATCATAGTTAAGTTGTTCTATTTGTGCCTAATAACATTCCGTTGTAATATGTGACTTTTTTTGTTTCTATTTAAACGTGACACAACATGTGATGTGATAAACTTAATTTCATGTCAAAAACTGTACCAAGATTATATATATATACAGATGGTTACTATGAGATTTATGGAGTACAATGGTATCGCTTGTTTTGAAAAAAATTGAGCAACTGAAAAATTAACGTTATGTTTAATTATAAACTAGGTTGTATAAATCAATGAATTTTGATGTCAAACATTTTGATATGCTATTATGGTTTATCCTTTGACAAATGAAAATCAATTCCATATAGCGCTAGAATTCAAAGAATTATAAAGAAAGGTTTTATGAAAAACAGAAGTTATGTTGAGTTTATAAATGATCATATACTGTTATATGGGGTTTTCTGAGTTATGCAGTTTGGTAATTAAAAGTTGAATCACTGACAATTTTAAAGACTTTTTCCACACAGATAACAATAATTCATAGAGCACAATGTGATCGTAGTAATATCGAAAGACAATAAATCGAATGGAAAATCCAGAAAGCAATGTTATGCAAGTGTTTTTGCAGAAATAATAAATGGTCAATTTACTGATAATTATACATAAAAATTATAACTAAAAGGTTACTTATAACAAGAACGAATGAAAAGCAGAATCAGTGTTTGTGGTAACAGCATATGGATCTTCATCTAAACATTGACCATGAAGACAGTATGCTAAGCTACTTATAAAATCAACAAAACAGGATCATAAAAATTCGCTACATACAGTGAACTGTTTATATAGTTAGCATACATCTACAGGCGAAATTCAAATGTCATTGCTCAGATGTTAGTTAAAATAACGGTAGCTTACAGCTAGATCACATTTCACAATAATTACTTTCATGCTATAACATGGTGCCTATTTTCATTCCTTGATGTAACTGGTGGTTAGTGTATCAAAGGTTTTAAAATTCGCTCGATTACATCCTAAACTCTTAATAGTTGTTCATTTATAGAAAATAGGGTCACGACTCGTGACTTCCTACATATTCATCATATGCCTAATCATGGAACGATATCGTTTGGATAAGAATTTCCACCCTTCTATTCACTGATAATCACCTCTAAAACAAACAAGATATAGATTTTCATTCATCCAACTAGAATGATGTGCATCACTTTTAAGAGCGTATTGCTCACATGCACTGGAAGACTTATGCGTATACAGAGTCAAGACATTTGCGGACAGTAAATTAATTCGAGAAGAGAATACCAACGTGCAGATAATATATATATATATATATATATATATATATATGACTAAGAGAATCAGCCGTCATAAGTCGAAGAAACTATTCACCACAAAAATGTGCGAAAGCCTACAATACAACAGTTACAAAATTAATTACTCTTGCTAAATAAACCAAAAATCTAATTAAATAAAGAACCTCTAGTTACTTTAACACGAAAATAGGGGGGAAATCACTCTCATTTGACGGGATAAGTTGGTTTTTATTGTCTACATACGACCACTGATCCTGACATAATTAAACATTTAGGAAAAGCCTCTGAAAAAGCCTCACAAAAGTTAAAAATATTTACAATCCCTTAAACAATTTACTTTTCTTTCTACTCCTGAATAACACGAACTTATTTATGCGAAATAACAGTAATCAGATGGTGAACAGTTTAGTCCAGCTAAAAAAACCAATAGATGTAATTAAGACAATGGTACCTTGGATGCTGACAGTTAATATGATAGACGTAATCCAAAGCTACAGACCCATCCAAATCGTTTAAATCAATAGAATCCATTGTATTGGAATTTGATTTGTCATAGACGGTCTCCCCAGTCTTCATCGTTCTGTGGATCGGTGATGGAGGCTTGAAAACATCATCCTCACCATTAGTTGACTGAATGTGATTATCGTAAGAAAAATTCTGGGTCGATTCAAGTTGTTCTGCTCGAGGTATTTCTGTCATCTTAGGAATTAAAAAATGTTGGATATTAGAATTGTAATCTAAAATTACACATTATCGTTTACTTACTAGACATTTACAACAAGAAAAGTGTCTAACATTGATGCATGAATTTCATGCAAGTTATAAAAAAATCCACTCAGATTACGGAGAGCGCCTGAAGACGAAATCGTCGAACCGAGTAACATATTACCAATTCGCCAGTATAAACTGCTAAGGAGAACTCAGATTACTTACATGTTATCTTTTTTTCTTAAAGAATAATCTCGATGACATTTTTCTAAATTATATTTCAGTAGTGATCTACACTGTTATCAGATTAGTTGTTTTTAATTACAGTCTGCTAGTTGTCTTATGCATCCCAACGTCAATGAGTGTTACTTTGTAAATGGAGTTGTTGAATTTTTGATTTTTGGTTCGAAAGATAACGTTGTCCTAAAACGTCCCTTCTCTATTAGGTGCGTGGATCATTACCGTTGAAGCGTTTTTCTTCGACGTCCAGTCTGTCAAGTTCTCATTAGTCTTGTTAGCATTAAAAGATTCTCAAATTACCGTAGGCCCAACCTAAAACCAATCACAATTACATTATAAAACTTAAAATAAACAAACAACCAACCGACAATTGATAAACACTGATAAAAACAAGTTCAAAATCTGCTTCCAGGTTTTAAAGCTCTTTTATTAACAAAGTATATATATATATATATATATATATATATATATATATATATAACTATCCTATCAGTCTTTTCAAACTTCGTAGATGATTGACAGGTTCACTATTATTTTTTTTAAATACTAAAACAACTCTGCCTGAGGTTTTTCTAGGGTCAGTAATTGTTGGGGACGATAGATTCCCAAAACTCAAATTTTGTAATTTACTTATCGATTAAATGTGCAGATAGGTCAATTGATGAACTATCGATTAAATGTACAAATAGGTCAATTGATGAACTATCGATTAAATGTTCAAATAGCAGTCAATTGTTGATTAATGTTCAAAAATCTTCCATGACAATATCGATTGTAAATATTTGTATAAATACGCTTGATTTGTGTGCTTGACTTGACTTGTGATCTGTTGTTTGTCTGTAGAATACACTTTCTACACCTTACCCAGACTTCTTGATCGAGTTAGCAGAGTTGGGGACAACGGACCAGAATAGGCTATCGAGATTCTGAATCCTTGATCCGATCGATAAGTCACTGTCATATAATCGGCTGTCACTTTGAGCCATAACAGTAATCTCATTCCGTGAAAAAGAACTTTGCTAAGAAACGACAGCCAGAAAAATTCATTTTAATCATTTTAAATCTGCTCAAGGAGTACAAGGGGCAACATTTAGAAGAGTTATAATGCCTTATGATAAATGCCGAGATTCTTCAGAAGTCACGAGGCCGATTGTTTTTCTAAAAATCAGAGCAACAATTAACATAGGTACATTGGATGTCGCCACAATGTAGGAGACTGAGAGGACCAGTCAAGTTGTTGAGGAAATGAGATAGAACCTGGAGGAGCTTGGAACAAGCAAAAACCGTTAGAAGCAAGCTGGATAGAAAAGATAAGCTTCGAGCGAGGTTCTGTTGTACTCTGATCATGAAGAAGAAAATGTCTCGTGTATATAGGTAGTTGCACTGATGTTCTTCAAAGAAACATGAAAAGCACTTATAGTATCGGAATCTCATGGATTCAGGATCATCAAAGCATCTTTCAAAACAGCTTTTATGTCCGAATGTATTCCTGATCTTTTGTTTCGCTTTCTCCCAGCATCACGTTTGCATTGCTTAGCCATGGCGTTTCTTCTTACGGCTGAAACAAGTACGCTTTTTTCAAGTTCATACCTTCCTTGTACCGAGCACCGTTCATCAGATACTTTGTGATAGTCGTAAACTTGCCAGACAGTTACGTTGCATAAGCAGCACCACAAGTTTAGCACAGAAATGTGAAGTTTCGGTTAGGTGTATGTTCTCCAACGTCATAATTTCTACAAGGCGCCATTTTTGTACGGATTGTAACGACTGCGAAATCACAATACTGCACTAACATGCAAGCATATTTATTCAGTAGTTAATATATCGGCATGAATATTCCGTTATACGATTCCGCTGATTTTATCTAATTTAAAGGCCTACCTGGGTAGCTTCTCATCTGTTAGCCCATGTTGCAAATTATTGATCGTGCTTATATAAATGATGTGAACCTGCTATGTCAAAAATCAGCCTATCCCTGAATTCATTACTACAGTTGACCATGATCCTGTCGGGCACTTAGGCACATGCAGGTCAGTACGGTACAGTAATAATGAAATCCAGTTTAGAGTAAATCGGAAAATTGAAAATAGAGGTCATTTTAAAACTTCCAGTTCACAGAACTAACGAGCGAATCTACCTACATTACCATATTTCGGAACAGTGAACATCAACTCTGGGATAAAGGTACATCCAGCTGACGAGCGTCCTGGATCCCGCTGCTGGCCATCATACATCTTTGCTTATAATGCTTGTGGCCCAAGGCAACACCAAGGCAATCCGCACAGGATGCATATATGCCAATAAAAAAACTCCACCAAAATCATCCACCTGAGCTACAAATCTTCTCCACCATCTCAAAACGATCAATTGCAGTCCTAAACATCAATGGGATGATTCAAACGAACAACACAGTGATAGCTATCGTTTCCAACTACAGAGTACGGTTATCTTTTACACCCCGATTAAAATGTACGGCATATGAAGACAGTATTTGGCTTCAAAAACTGTTGGAATCTCTTGATATCCTCACCTCTGTTCTCATTCTAATCTGTTCATCTAGAATTGAGCACTTCATATTGATGTTAACAGTGATTGGAAGTGCTTAAAACCGATGGGAATCACTCCAGTCAATGGAAATTAACGGCCTTATTGATCGACTTACTAACCCCACTTAACGTTTTACGCCTGACAGTCATACCCGTTTGTAAACAAGCAGTCTTAATGAGAAAACCGAATTAGGCTGAACTGCTTGTGAAACAACACTGCTGAAGTCCCATAAATACTTAACAATCAACTACGAATAGTTTCACCTGATATAGTAAATATCTCCATAATTTTCTCTAGATTGAATGAACTCATGTTAAAGACAACTTGAAATATATTAAATCTTAATATACAATAAACTGCACAAGATACAGAAGTAGTGACTTAGTACTTAAGCTATTCCACTTTCGGCCAACAAGTTCCAAGTTCGAACTCCGCTCCATTTCCTTCTGTCCGGACAGCCGGGTAATATCATGAGATCTCACACTCTGTATGGCTCATACTCAAGTACCTGGTGAATGAGTTTGTTCAATTTATTTAAGTATTATCAGACAAAAATTACTAACCCATTATTAGCAAGTATGTGAAACATATGATTATAATTCTATAAATTACGGGGTATAGCTGGACCACTACGTCTTCACAATAAGCTAATAAACGTACTTTCTCTTCGAAACATTTTTATACTTATCGTATAGTTCGCTATTCCAACAGACAACAACAACTATTTAGATAACAAAATTTATCGAAAACATATCTCACCTCTTCCACGCGAATGGGTCTTTGATCGAAAAACCCTCTTAGATCCTGACGGAAATAGTGGATAAGGCTAGGCCCGAAAGGCCCGGCAGCACGAAGAAAGGATAAAGGATTAAAGGGACGGAATATTTGACGGAAAGTCGAAAATATCCATGCTTGAGCTGCACCTACATTCGACTGATCTTTAACTTTTAAAGGATCCTCGACAAAACCCCAAGGATCTGCTAGGATCAAATGAACAATCCTAATTAAAAAGAATAAAAAGCATTGACAATTTTTAGTAAGCAAAACCATTATTTTAATGCTATTCATACAACACTCAAGTATTTTATAAACACAATAAAGTATTTCACGACGTATAAATTCCAAGCTGATACAATATCGAACCTAGAACAATAGTGCACTAGCCCAAGTCTCTATATTTCAAAACAGACATAAAAAAGACAACAGAAACAAGACTAAGTAAAAAAATAAGTGGGTCCGAAGCAAAGAACGTCAGTAGAGCTGGCCTACTGGTGGTTTAAAGAAGCATTATTACAATTTTACTTAACTCAGATTGGAAACAAATTCTTTCATGAAATGAATCAATTCCAAAGCATAGTAACTCAGTGAACTTCTCTAATATTTTTATTCATTAATAATATTTATGTTCGAGATGGACGAATAGGAATATACTATAAACATTCTGCATCACAATCTTCTTGAATAATTTAAATATTCCATCCGCAGAATTATGTTCATTCAGTGCTTTTAACTGTTTGGATAGATAACGTTATGAAAGTATTCCCTAGATTTAATAACCACGTCTTACAAACACTTAGTAGTCAATCATAACCATTGTATAGTCTAGCATATAGTTGCACAGCAAAATGAAGTTAACAAGCATAATACCAAATGAGTTCATATTATAGCAGTATTAATGATAATGAGAACGACTAAACATTAGGAATATGGTTCTAAAGAGTATAAAGACAGGATATGAATCAGTCACAACGTAGAACCTGATACGTATGTACATCGTTTCAAGTCTCCATAAACCATTAGCGCAAAGATGAAATTTTCGGGCCAAATCTCAGAAAAGTAGAGGTAGTAACAGTACCAGTGGTAATAGGAAGGGTTTGGGACTGGAGATACGACTCGACAAAATAGAAATTAGTGAAATAAAGAAGAGGAAATTTAGAATCTCAGAATTTTGGGGAAGACAAAGAGTGGATGTATTTGCGTCACCGCAAACGGTCGTGAGCTATGTCATTCAAAGTGTCTAACCACTGATCACGATAATCAAGCGGAAGGGAAACTTAAATTCAAGATTTAGAGGAAGATAAACAGTAAGTGCATTTGGGCTAGTGTGACTGGTCCTCAACTGTTACTCGACATCTACAATTGATGATTGCGGCTATCTCGTAGAACTCGATCAGGTAGTCTGAACTTACCAACAGTTAATTATT